ACAATGATGTTTTAATAGTCAAGTTGGATTTGTCTGATGAGGAACTTGCTCTTGAGTACCTTTTGAAACATCTTTAGGAGGCTTTGCATGTGAAACAAAATTGAATTCACCCACAGATTTTCATTAAGTGCCTCAAAAAGGAAATAATTACAATGCCTGTTCATTCAGCCCATGGTGTTACATGCTAGAGCTAGACAGAGGAGTGCTAATCAGTGTGGCCGCCTTGCTATTAAAGGAATCTTTTTAAAATGCTAACAACTATCACAATTTAAAATACGTGAATCTATCAGATTGTCAAAGGTTTTTTAAAACTTGGTAAAAATGAATGTTGGCAGGAGTGTGGAGGAAAGGGTACCCTCTGCAGCCTGAGCAGAGATGCAAATTGGCTCATTCTCTCTGAAGGGCAGGCTGGTGGGATGCTCAAAATGGGAAATTAATGTATCTCCACTGACAGAGAGGACTGTGTCAGGAAATCTACCTGAGAAGCAATCACTCACTAGGAGAGAAGCCTGGACAAAGATGCTCTAGGCAGCATTGTTTATAAGTGAAGAGATCTGAAAATAACCAGGTGTCTGGGAGCAAGCACTGTGAAGTCAAGTTTAGTAGGAGGAAAGATACAGATGGAAAGTTTAGCACCTTCAAATTCTGTTGAGTGGAAAGAGGTTATCTGTACAAAATGCATAGAAAGTCATCCCATGTTGCACATGTGAACTATATGTCTGTGCTTAGACAAAGGGAGACACCATGGAAACAGATACTCTGCAGAAGGATAAATGCTGTTGTGTTGCTATTGTCTTTCTCTGTGTTGGAAAGTAGCCTTTAAAGAAAGCAGGAAGTGTACTAGACAGGACAAAGGTGCCTGGTAACTTCCTAGGAATACAGAGACACTGGTTAGCTGCTGACACAAAGCTAAAGAAGCAAATACTTGGAAGGGTTTTTATTTTACTTGAATATGCTGGTTCTAGTCTCATTTAATTTTTCAAACTATGAAAGGAATGGTTTCAAAGGAAAGAAAAGTTAAGGTAACTTTCCATAAAATAAGAAATGTGCACAAATAAGGATACCAACTACATGTTGGCTGTAAAGGAAAGCAATAAAACGTACTCTTATCTTAAAACAATAGTGAAGTCGAACCTACCAATTAATATGAAAATTATTACATAAATTTAATAAGACCCGAAATAAAAGATTCGTTTAAGAATCAAATAAATATACAGCAAACAATTAGAAAGTGAACTTAATTATGTTATACTGTTTACAATAGCAACAAATCATCAAATAGTAGTTAATCTAAGCAAAGATGTCTGAAATATTCATGCAGAAGTTACGAGGAGAAATTAAAATTGAAGTAATGATAAAGATAGGGAGAGTTTGTGTGTCAATTCCATGTTACAGAGCTATAAAGAGTTTATCTAAAAATTCAATGCAATTTCAACTAAAATATCAGCATGCTATTTTGTTCAAATTGACAAGATGATTCCTAGATTCAAAAGTCAAGAGGCAAAAATATGAATTCAAAAATCATAAAAAGAAAATAAACCCAGAACCATAGCATTGGCAGGAATGTGAAGCGACTGGGACCACTGGTGGAGTGGGAGTGGGCACTACCCCTCTAGAAGACGGCATGGTACCCCCCAATAATTCTGCAGAAAGGGAAACACATAACAACAGAACTCACCATGCTACAAACTGAAACAGCAGAAATGTTCACCTGCACTAGCATGAATAAGCAGATTATAAAATATTAATATAACAAAAACTGTCATATAAAAAATGAAGAATCTCACAAATATTCTATTGAGTAGTGGATGATAAAGTGGACATACTGTCTAGTTTTGTTCATATGAAACTGGAAAGCAGAGAAAAACAACTGGTGGTCATGTAAGTTCTAATTCTGGGGGAGCGTGTGTGACATGGAAGGGGCATGAGACCGATCTTGGGTGCTGACAATCCTTCTGTAAACTTTAAATTGTTGACATATCATTTATAGACCATATATAATTTTTTGAGTAATGAAGAATCAATAAAATTACTTTAACATATGTGAAACCAGACTCTATGTAATATTGTGATGCATTATGAGTCAATGTTACTTACGGGGGTCTGGCAGAACAGGCAACTGTGGGAACAAAGAAACAGATCCCAGAATGAACTTAAGTGCAAAGTGAAAGTCTTGTGCTGTGTATATGTACACAGATACTTATAATGTGTAGTAGATTTAAGTATGCTGAGTGAATAAATCAAACTAAAATTCAGCATTATCAAAAGGAAGAAGCTTTGTCAACTAAACACTCAAAACCATAGACCCAAAGTAAAATGAACAGTAAAAGCTCCCGTCCTACCTCAACTAACAGAAAGAACTGATTGTCCCATAGGTCCCTTTTCTCTCCTTAAGATGAGTGGCAGTCTGCAAGAATAATAAACTTTCCTATTATCTTAAAAAGGGTCAGAAAATTGTCCACACTCCTCTTAAAGCAGAAAGGACCTCCACTTTGTATTACGAGAAGTTAGATAAAAGAGCTGAAGGCTCAGCTCCCCTCTTAGCTATTTCTGCTGTGATCACAGATGCCTGTGGGTGGCTTCTGCCAGCATCCTTCTGACTTCTCATGCAGTGGAAAGGTGAGTGTCAGCATCCCATCACTCCCTAAAAAGCCCTGTTGAGTTGCTTTGGCTCCAAATATGCCATAATCATTTTGAACCAAATGTGGGGTGTAGAGAAATATGTGGATCTGAGTTATTTGGTACAGAATTCTGTGCTTCCTATCCAAGCTAGAGGGGCTTTAGAGGCCATAGAGTGTAGCCAGAGATTTTCTGTCCCATCCACCAGTCCCACAGACACTCATAGACACTCAGAGGCTTAATATTCATTATAGTTGCTTGGCCGATAGCTCGGGCTTATTACTAGCTTGCTCTTACATTTAAATTAACCCATTTCTGTTCACCTTTGCATTGCCACATGGCCGTCCCATTACCTCATTTTCTACATGTCTCGCATCCTCGGTGGCTGCTGGCATCTTCACCCGACTCTACCTTCTTTCTCCCTGTATCTCTGCTTGGATTTCCTGCCTAGCTATATTCTGCCCTGCCACAGGCCAAAACATATTTATGCATCAACCAATAAAAGTAACAACACACATTTGCAAAGTACAGAAGGGCATCCCACATCAATAGAAGCTACAGAGAATGAGGGACATTCTAGCGAGAAACTAGTGTGACCACACAGAAGAGGATGAATATATTCCTAGTCACAAAATGTCCTCTCCAGGGTAAAATACACGATAGACATTTTGGAGTGGATACACCATAGACATTTTGAACTTTGTATTGGCATTTGCTTATCGGTGTTAAAAACTATAGTGCTTCCCAGGACTGGGCATATTTCCATCCTCCTCCTTCCCTGGCCCCAAAAATTCAGATATTGGACCAGTGGGATGCTATTTGAAGGCAAAGGCTCAGGAAGTAGTAAGGTCCTGATCGTGGGTCCCTCATGATTTTAATCAGTGTTCTTATAAAAATAGATAGAAGAAAAGTAGACTCTTCACTTACCACAAGCAGGGGTAAATGAGAAAGAGGACCGTCTTCAACATCGGATCAGATGCCAGTTCCATCTTGTACATCTCAGTGTCCAGAATTATGGGAGACAAACTCCTTTGTTTATCCAGGCAGACTGGATCTTTCATTAGGGCAGCTCACACTGATTGATATAATGATGAGATCTTGCTTTTGGGAACAGTGAAGGCATAAAGAGATAGCAAAAGGTTATCCATCTTCTGTATTCCCTAGCCCGGTGTTCTACATTTGCAGTAGTTATGTGAGTGACAGTATTTGTTTACATTGCTGCCCTAGAATGAGAGCAGAGTGCTCACAGAAATTGATGATACTGCCACTGCAGAAAGACCATCTTGTTCCGAAGGAGCGGTGTCTTTTTTAATCCTTTCTTTCTATTACTGGTTTTAAATAATGCTTCTGACAAGATCCTGCTTCTCTTTCTGTCAACTGTCAGGGAACAGGTATTGGGCATTATTTGTGGGGCTGTAAATACATTACATGAAAAAATAATGAGTCCTCACAAAGTCGGAAGCAATGCCTCCAGAGACATTTACCTAACGTGATTTATGTAGGTCTGGGAATGAAGTTTCAGAAACTTCCAAATGGAAAGCCTGGATCATAAAATAAAGTCTCTGCCAAATCAGACTTTGGTAGAGCCCCTGGACACATTTCCCATCTACTTTTAATATGGAAATTAGAAAGCGCTTTTTATGTTCAACTTAAATTGTTTAGTTAATGGTCTAAGAATAACTCTGGGGAGTACCCCTCAGCATAGCATGTTATTACTCCATTCTTCCATCTGAGTCTGATGTATCTATTGTGTTCTTGCTGCAGAGGCTGATCCCTGAGATTAATCATCCCCTTTACTAGCTAGAAATTGGAGACATTTAATGGATATACCTACATCAGTCAATTTAATGAGTCTCATTGTCTAGGGTTTGAAATAAACTAATCACTCTAATGTTAAAATATAATTGATGTTCATCCTCACTCTAAGTTTTCTAGGTTTGTCTCTCCTGCCTGCCTGAAGAGGCCAATTTACTTTAAGCTGCTTTCTGTTCTTTCATTCATTAACTGGGCCTTTGGAACTAAATTGTATCTACTGGTTGAGGTAAGGATAGTCTGAACCGTCTTAGCATCTTTGCTATAGCACAGCTTGAGTGAGCTGCTTGCCTTCCACTTCCTTACCAGGGAATATTTTGCCACCATAGTAGGAACTGTTCTGTGAACACCGCCTGAGGTATCTCTGGAAGCCTGACAGTTGCAAATAATAGGACACCAACATGGCTGTGGCATGAATCACTGGGCAGAGAACCAAGGACATCAACCGACCTAATAGCAGGAGCTCAAGGCCAAAGTGGTGGCTTGCCCAGTCAGTCACCAAAGTACAAACAAGCTGTACACAAATCTGAGTCATAATCAGTGGATTTTGGTCTCTGTTTTGTTTTCAGCTGTTTGAATTTATGAACTTCCTGGCTGAGAATGTCATCTTCTGCTACATGGGCCTGGCTCTATTCACCTTCCAGAATCACATTTTCAACGCTCTTTTTATACTTGGAGCCTTTGTATCCTTTGAAGGAAAAATAAAATAGAAAAATGGTCAAACCTTTTTCTTAGTAGGACTTTGAAAACATCAGAGAAGTCAATGTGTCCATTGTACTTTCACCATCAGAAGCATCATGCACGTGTAAGTTTACTTCCATTGACTAACACCTTCTGGGGCTGTGAAGTTAGCTCAGTGAAATATTAACCTTACAAGTATGAGGACCACAATTCAATTCCCAGAACCTACAAAATATCCAGCCATGGTGGTAGATGATTGCAATCCCAGTTCTGGAGAGGCAAAGACATGTGGATCTCTAGGACTTGCTGGCCAGCCAGCCTAGTCTAATCAGTAAGTCACATGCAATGCACACATGCACACACACACACACACACACACACACACACACACACACACACACATACACACACCATTTCCTCCCTAGGAGAATAGACAAAATGTAGACCCCACTTTTAATACAGAGGGTACTCCTTCTGTAGGGCTTAAGTGGGAGGCAACCATCTGTCCAAAGAGACACTGAGCAACTACAAATGTTCCTAAGAAGAGCCTTCTGCTATTGTCCATCGCACTTGGAAAATGGGATGATGCTTCCTTTGGTCACAAGCAGATGACTTTACCTCTAAAGAGCCTGCCATGTCCCTGTGTCCACTGCTCACCTGAATTTGGTGTCAGTCTCTCATCCCTGAGGTTCTGCTAAACTTTCAAATTTCATCTGAAACCTCGATCTTAGAAAGAAGGAAACTATCTCACTCCAAATAGCTTCATCCTGCAGAGGACTGAAGGAATAGAGACAACAACAAAGGAGGAAGGCTTATGGCTGACCTTTTCAGGAGATATTCACTTACAAGACATTGGCTTTAGGAAAGTCTCCTGAAGTAGCATTTGTACTATATATATTGACAGTCAGCTTCTCTCAAAATTAAATCCAGTAAATGAAAAAGGTAAGCAAGCTTGCTAGAAACAGGTACATGAACCGATGGGAAGTGAAACGGAAACCACATCAGGAATATATTTATTCTTTCCAAAGTGCTGCTGGAGAAGATAACACCATAGTACCAGGTGTCGCTACCTCACAGCTTCCAGCAGGATTGAGGATAGAGTCAGTCACTGGGAACATAAATGTGATGGGAAAATTTAGGGATTGAAATGGCATGACTGTACCAACTTTCAGCCAAGCATATGTTCAAAGGAAGACAGAGTTTTATGTCATTCTGGGAAGGAACTGACATTGAACGATGAATGTGGTGAGTGAGTTAGACATAGATGAGTTGTCATGTTTATCCTTGTTTTCCAGGTCATATCATGGAGAAGCATATGGACATGATACCTGAGCATGCTCAGTCAGCCCCTCTGTGGCAGTGTTTTCCTTAATGTGTCCTAACAGCTAGCAATTTTTGTTGCCAGAGCCTGCAACATTTATCCCCTCTCCTTCCTCCTGAATCTGGGCAGGAAACAGAAGATCCCATGGAACTTCCAACACATGATGATGTTTTCAGGTATGTGGACTCACTGTTCACTCATGCTGCTGCTCTCCCACCTCTGTGGAGCACAGAAAGCCGTGGGGCACCTGCAACACTCATGGAAAACCTGAGTTTTCTTTACCCTCGGATCCAGCCCTGGGCTCATCCCTCAGTGCTGAACAACAAGGAGTGCTTGTTCCCAATGAGAAGGGAAGTTAAAGGGAATTTCCTGGTGACCTCGAGTATCTGAACAGAAGTGAGCTCCAGCTGAGCACTAGACTTTCCTCTGGGCCATCAGAGCAGTTTCCATATTAAGGAATTGAATTACCATCCTCTCAACTGCAGTATATAGTATTGAATGGTACCACCCTTCTCCCTGTGCCTTTACCATCCTTGCAGGGTTCCAAAACCTTTTTGTGGCTCCCACAAAGCTAGTCAGATCCAGGTGGGCTCTGTTATTAGTTGAAAGAACATGTTAATTAAGCACCAGAAGGTGCAAAAGAGTGGATCCTGACTCTGTCTGATGGAAACACAGGTCTCCTCTCCTAGGAATATTCTCATTGCTAAGTTATGAACAGAGCTCTTTTCCAGAAGAAAATACAGCAAATGAGTTTGCTGACCACTGAACTATTCTGAAGGATTGAAGCTGCTTTCTATTTGATTATCTTTCCCTGATTTAAGACAGGATTCAAAGACTCTATATACCTTCTGTGTGTGTGTACACCTACAATACATTTAGAAGAGTTCATTGGCAGATCCATGACATTAGAGTGAAAAAAAATCTGCCATCAGAACAGTGTCAAGACTGTTGGGACACGTGGGCAAATATAACAAAAATGAGAGTAACCAGTATTTATTAATATGTGTTGTTTGCTGCTTATAATACACCAGTCCTGGAAAGCTAGTGTTAGGTTTTGTGCATAGGATCTCTAACATCTGAAGTAACTAGACCAAGGACAAAAGCATTTACGATCCAGACTTCACTTCAGTGCTAACCAAGTGTTTTGAAATTCACATTTTAAAAATTATTTCATATGTCTGAGTGTTTTGTCTTGTCTGCATGTATGGAGGCCAGAAGAGGGTACCAGATCCCTTGGAACTGGAGTTATAGATGGTGATGAGCTGCCAAATAGGTGCTGGGAATTGCACCCATGTCCTCCAGAAGAACAACCAGTGTTATTAACCACTGAGCCATCTCTCTAGCCGAAAAGTACGCATTCTTTAAAATGGTCCTGAGAGTAGAAGGTTTGTTCCTTTCTCAATTCTATGTTAGCGTGGTCCACAGAGCACTTGGTGCAGCCCCCAAGTTTGGAATGAGTTGTCTTATCAAATATGATCACATGAAAATCCACAGTTAAATCTTGTCCTTCATAGGGCCTCTGACAGGACTTTCTAATGCTTCTAGATGTGCTATGGTAAGAGATTCAGAAAGAAAGTGAGGTGTCAAGTTGACAGTGATCCCTGGCTTAGGGCAGCATTGACCCTTATGGAAAAGTAAAGGGAAGCTTATTTCCTTAAAACTTGAAAGCCAGCACTGGTGTTCGAAGGGTTTCCCATCAAAACATCCATAGTTTTCTTATCAGTATCGTATTTGGAAAGCTTGGCATTTTATTTCAAGCATCATTTTATTAGACAAAGAGGTTTTAGTAATAAGCCAAGATTACAGACACGAGTGCAAACTCTCTGCCCAAATGGCCACCTGGCTTGATGAATTCTTTGCAATTTGGCAATGCCTAAGTTTGCTTAGCTATATGATTGGAGCTACAGAAAAACAAAAACAAACAGCAAATTTTAGTAGAGGCCAAAACTGTGGCATATGCAAAGACTGAGAAAAGATATGTAATTTGATGGTGTCTTTATGAGGTTCTTTTTTAAACCCTTTCTTTGATAAATTCACACATGCATATAGTAAATTTTTTAGTCATTTTTTCCTCCCATAATCCCCTGTTATCCCCCTTCCTCTCCACTAAAATCCTTTCTTTTTCTGACAAGTCTCCCTACTACTTTTGTGTTTTTTTTTAAATCTAGTTTTTAATGACACTAAATTTTAATTGTGTTTGTTTGCATGAGCCCAAGTGGAGGGTAATTTACTGGGTCCTAGGCAGTTTATCTGTGGATTTACACCCCCAACAGTCATTAGCAGTCCAAGGTTCCTCAGTGAGGGAAGATAGGCTCTAATGAACCCTTTATATAGCCTAATGAACCCATATTTGGTAAAATGGTGGTGGACCCAATCTTATGCAGATCTTGAGCAGGTAACTACAGCAAAGATGAGTTCATGTGTACAACAAACAGGTCAGGTCCAGAAAACACACAGCACTCTTCCCCATCCTCTGGCTCTTACATTCTTCCTGCTTTTTCTTCCCCAATGTTCCCTGAGCATGAAGGGATCAACTTAGGTGTTAGGACCATGTACACCGCTGTCAGTTACTCTTCTCAGCACTCCAGGCAGCTGTGAGTCTGTGTGGTTACTGCAGCTCACTGTCAAAAGAAGCCTCTCTGGCAAAGGCTGAGAGCAGCACTAACAGGTGGATACAAACATAAGTAGTTAGAAGGTAGATGATGCCATGTCCATTTAGCAAACAACAGCAATGGGTTCCCCACTAGAGCCCATGACTGCTGCAGCCATGGGCATTCTACCAAGTTTACAGCATCAGGCATGATTTCCTTCCTGTGCGTGGGGCTTAGATCCAATCATAAAGTGGTTGGTTATTTCCTACTAGTCATGCCACTGTTGCTTTGTTGAGCACATCTTGCCTGTCTGTTTGTTATTGTAGTTCATGCGGTCCACAGCTATAGGATTGTTGTTGGCCTTCTCCCACAGTGTAATATATCCTGAAATACAGCCAGCAGAGGGGGGCTCCCAGATCAACTCAACTTGACTTCTCTGTGTCCTATAACCCAAGTCTGTAACATCTTCAGCAGTAGGGACTAACCATCTAGTTCTGAAGGGAAACCAACAACTACAAACCAAACAATATTGAATAATTTGGGGGGAAACTTCTGGGGTCTCTTTGACCAACAACTCATCATAGAGAGTTATCTCACAGCTGGTCCTGGGTTTGTCATTTAATAGCCTTCAACTTCTAGGGGAAACATTATCTATCCATAGTACATCTACTTAACCCGTGTGTGTGTGTGTGTGTGTGTGTGTGTGTGTGTGTGTGTGTGTGTGTGTTAAATGCTTTCACTTGCTAAAAGAGAAGCAAGGCAAGATTCTTTAACTTACCTTGGTTTAATTTATTACCGCCACCAAAAAGACTGGCAAGTCTAATTCTTCAAACACTTCCCTATTGTGACCCTGATGTCAGAGAATGCTGTGGGTTGTCAACATCTGTGTCACTTGTCAAGTATTGATTGAAATGAATCTGAGCAACACAGAAATTGTTACTTCTACATGTTTTTAATAATATATTTCTTTTTTTTTTTGGTTTTTTGAGACAAGGTTTCTCTGTATTGTTTTGGAGGCTGTCCTGGAACTTACTTTGTAGACCAGGCTGGCCTCAGACTCACAGAGATCCGCCTGCCTCTGCCTCCCGGGTGCTGGGATTAAAGGCATGCACCACCAATGCCTGGCAATAATATATTTCTGAAAAGTGAATAATATTCATAGTTTACTTGGTATAGAAGAAAAAACACTGGAGTTTCCATGAAGCAGCTTCTCTCATTTTCAATGTTACATACTTGTCTGATGGGGCCCAATGATGCCACAAGCCATAAGCCACAGCTTGCCTTCCCAAAGCGTTTGAAACTCATGGCTGAGCTAAAACAGGCAGGGATTAACAACCTTTGTTTCTTGGTTGTTATTTTGTTTCATTTTACCCTCTAATTCTCTTTTCATTTTGGTGTTTGAAGACAGGGTTTCTCTATGTATCTTTGTAGACTAAACTGGCCTCAAACTGACAGAGATCTGTCTGCTTCTGCCTCCCAAGTGCTGGGATGCATTTCTAAACAGTGTGATGATCACAACCAATAGTTAATAGTCATACTCTTTTCATCTTGTAAAACGGAAACTGTAAGCATTAAACAGTAGCTCCCCTTCCAAGCACCTAGAAACTATCCTATTACTTTCTGCTTCTGTGATTTTGACTACTGTGGTTTCCTCATTTAAGTGGAATTGTGACTGCCTTGACATAGTGTCCTCAATATTTGTCAATGTTTTGTTAATACAAAATTTCCTTCCTTTTAAGGTGGAATGATAGTCCCTTATGTATGCGTATAAGTATCATACATTGCTTATCCAATCATCTAGCACTCTTGGGTTTCTTTTATTCTTTTTGATAGTACAAAAAAAACCCTGATATGAACATGGGTACACAAATTTCTTTTTAAAAAAAACCTTGCTCAGGCGGTGGTGGTGCACGCCTTTAATCCCAGCACTCGGGAGGCAGAGGCAGGCAGATCTCTGTGAGTTCGAGGCCAGGCTGAACCAACAGCCTCCAAAACAATACAGAGAAACCCTGACTCGTAAAACCAAAAAAAAAAAAAAAAAAAAAAAAAAACCTTGCTAACAATTTTAAATATATGTCCAGAAGTAGAATTGCTGAATTATATGGTAATTTTTACCAGCTAATTATTTGGGGGAACCACCATACCGTTTTCCATAGCAGCTGTGGTGTTTCACAGTCTCACCAGTGGTGCTCAGGAGTTCTAATCGCTCTACACCATTCCCAACACTTGTTTATTTGCCCTTTATGGTAGTCGTGCTCACTGACAGTATGAGGTAGTTCTTTTGATGTGTATTTCCTTGCTCACTGGTGATGTGTTGAGCATCTTTTGAGGAACACATTGGCCATCCATCTTTTTTTACTTATCTCAAATCAAGTCTTGTCTTTTGCTCAACAATTTTCAAATTTCTATTTCCTAGATATTGACCCCTTATAAAACAGATAATTTGCAAATGTTCTCTCCCATTCCATTTGTTTCTGTCATGCTGTGCTTAAGTTGTCTTTTGATACGCAACATTTTTTTTAATTTTCATGAAGTCTAGCTTTTCTGTTGTTTTTGTTCTCATCTGTGCCTTTGGTGTCCTGCCA